GTGTCCAGTGACACTTCTGTGTTTGGAGAGAGACCTCCGATGGGACTTAAAAGGTCCAGGGGTAATCCGTGGGACAGGCGGGGGTCATACACAGGCAGACTGAGAGCAGAACCAGGTAAGAAGGAGCAGACTTAAATCGTGGTTGGAGCAGAGGAGCAGTGGTCGTAATCCAGGAGTCAGAAGGCAGAACAGTACCAATGGGGAGTGAGGCAGGAGGCAGAAATCCAGAGTCCAGAGTGGGGGTCAAAACCAGGAGGGCAGAGTCTGGGACGGTACCATTCGGGGGTAAAGCGAGAGATGAAGAACCAATGAGGAGAACCAAGGTCGAGACGAGGCAGGCAAGACGTGACATGAATGCTGGATTACTACTTGGCTGAACCGTTCATAAATCTGGCACTGGAGCTGTGGATGAGAGGAGCTTAAAAACTGCTGATCACAGGTGAGAGGCATGACGTTGATTGAGGTTGGCTGAGATGGGAAGGGAGAAACAAATAGGAGATAATTGACTGTGACAGGACTAGGGCAGGAAACAGGCGTGATTCATGACAATTGGTCCAACAAACCAGTTTGGTGGGGTTGGAGAGAAGGGAACGTAATGAGACTGTCCCAGCATGGCAAAGGAAACTATAACCAACCCAAGCAACACATGCAACAAACACTAGCCAATCACAGACAGGGAGGTGGGTCTTTTTACTATCCTGCTGTCAGTGGTGGGCACAGTTCCCCTAAAGCACTAAAGCACTAATGGGGAAACTAATTTCCTGATTAGTGCTTTAGGGATTTTGCTGATAAAAAAACATTAGTGAATTAGCACTTGCTAAATTTATAGGCTAAATTTAGAAGCACTAACTGAGGTCTATAAATGTTATTGATCAACATTAATTTTAACAACTGAGGATTGACATGAAGTCTATGGAAGCCGAGAGCGACCTTTTCTGCATATAATTATTTTCAATGGTTTTCTCATGATGACCACATGCTATATGTCGTCATCACGAAATAACGAGCATCATTTTCTCGAGATAACGAGTTAATTTGCTGATGGGTTTCCTCTTGTGTATCATTCAGTAACCAYGGTGACAGCCTGGTCCGCTCAGCTGTTCATCAATGAAGGTAACTTATCCATCCATTCATTCATCCATCCATCCGTTCATTCATTCACCGTTACTTAACCAGGCAAATCCCATTGAGATCGTGGATGACTTTTGCAAGGGTGGCCTATTAATTGTTCATAATTTTGTCATTTTTGTATCATCAGGCAGAAACTGTGATTTGTTTGTCTCGTACAGATAACTTTCATTTCAACCCTCGTCATTTAAGGAGACGGCTGGCCCAGCTAAAGCTCAGCAGGCGTTTACACAGTGATCTTGATGATCCTGTATAATAAACTTTATCAGTGACCAGCTGAGGGGATCGGGCCGTTTCCATGGTTACTGAATGATAAACAAGGAAAACCACAACTCGTCATTTTGAGAAAACCATGGAAAATAATCATGAGCAGAAAATGGCCGCTCTTGGCTTCCGTAGACGTCAGTCTAAATAAGCAACTACATTAAAAAGAATCAACTCACTCAATACWTTCAAGTGAATATTTAAAAAGGAAAAAAGCCCAAAGTGGACGAATAAGCAAACTTGGCTACTGTGCCTTGAATTTAGTTTGCACAAAAAAATAAACCCATTAAAAATATGTCTGGCAAAGCTCAGCTGTACAGTTTGCCGGTTGTTTGGTTATAATACTGAGAGATTTGTGAAACAGAAACAAAATATTTTTCGGAACATTGAGTCAATTTTAATTTACTAATCTTACTAGTGAGGTATTAATTTTACTTTCATACACTATCAGCTTCGTTATTAGTTTATGCCTCATTTTCAGCTACTAGAGAAATTCAAAATTCACTTGACGATCTATTTCCTGTGCCGGTGGTTTGTAAGTGTTTGCATTCACAGTGCTAGAGTGTATAAATCTGTTGATGATGATGATGATGATGATGATGATGATGATGATGATGATGATGATGGCGACATTTAAAAGCATCAACAAGCTTCTTCCTTTCCAGGTTGTGGAGGTCACTGCATGTCCAGCAGTCACTACGAGGGGTGGGGGGTCTTGACACCCAGGACAGGGTGTCAAGTCCATCACAGGGACACATAGAGACAAATAATCTTACATGCTCATATAGGGACATTGGGCCTCATGCAAGAACCGTTCGTTTGAACAGATTTGTTCTTAAGTTGTGCGTACGAGTGATTTAGGAGAATTTGTGGTATTCAACAATTTTCTCCTATTCTAAGATTTTCTTCAGATACGAACAAAATTCACGAGTGGTCCAGACCTGTCGTATATTTTACGAACAGTCAGTCTGCTGTTATCTAGATGGGTTTTCTTCATTAATAACTTTATATTTCAATAGTTTGAAGATATTTCGAGGTGAAAATTAATCACACTCCATAATTATGTTGACAAAACACTATTC